TTTCTTTCTTTCTTTCTTTCTTTCTTTCTTTCTTTCTTTCTTTCTTTCTTTCTTTCTTTCTTTCTTTCTTTCTTTCCTTCCTTCCTTCCTTCCTTCCTTCCTTCCTTCCTTATTTCCTTCCTTTCTTTCTCTATCTTTCTTTCTTGATTTATTTTGTATACAGTGTTCTGTCTGCATATATGCCTGCATGCCAGAAGGCACCAGATATCATTATAGGTGGTTGTGAGCCACCATTTGGTTGCTGGGAATTGAATTCAGAACCTTTGGAACATCAGCCAGTGCTCTTAACCTCTGAGCCATCTCTCCAGCCCCCTGTGTCTTTCTTGTTTGTTTATTATCTATACAGTGTTCTACCTGCATATATGCCAGCAAGCCAGAAGAGGGCACCAGGTCTCATTATAGATGGTTATGAACCATCATGTGGTTACGGGGATTTGAACTCAGGACCTCTACAAGAACAACCGGTGCTCTTAACTCTTCCATCTCTCCAGCCCCACAAACTGACATTTTATCATTTGGTGTCAGGGTTTCACTCATAGCCCTGGCTGGCCTGAAACTTGGTGATCGTCTGCCTTCGCCAAGTGCTGGAATGACAGGTGTGACTCACTACAGCAGCTCTCACATTTTCATTCTTAAGATGATTTTTTTTTCTGTTGCTTTAGTGACTGTTATCCTTGCCCTCAGAACCTTTTCAACCTAGACTATTCCCCCCATTTTCTGCATGAGTCACTCCTTGCTATTCAGGTCATAGTTTGTGTAAGCCATCCCCACAGACATCCTCCCCATCAGCCATCCTAAAGAAGCCCCTCTGGTTCCCTAACACAGTGCCCAGGATATTCAATTTTACTTTCTATTTATTTTCCTGAGACAATTCTTTTTTTTTCTTTAATTAGAAAAAATTTATTTTACATGAATTATGTATAGACCTTGTTATTACTGCTAAGACAATTTAACAATGATTTATATAATATTTACATCCAAAAAGAAAGGAAACAACTGTACCCCCCCTCCAGGTGTTGGTATCTGTAGGGAATCCTTACTTGAGCTGCCTTTTCTACTGAGAGACAAGTATATTTATTGTCTTCTCAATACTGTTTATAAAATTGATGCACATGATAATGTTATAACTTATTAATGACACAATCTAACTTAAATGGAATAGTAGACAAATGCTTTTGGGCCGGATTGATATTCATTAGGATAACATGGACATTTCTGACCATTCTTAGCTTCATGATAAAAAGCAAATGATTGTAGCTCAAAATCACTGAATTTTAGCTTCTGTAGCATTAAGCTTATCAATATTTTAAATACTAGTCTCATTTTTTGTTTATTACCAAATTCTTTTTCCCTTTTTATTAAAAATAGGTTCTTTTCTCACACAATATATCCTGATCACAGATTCCCCTCCCTCTACTCCTCCTAGCTCCTCCCTACCTCCTCTCCCATCCAGACCCACTGACGACTTTCCGTCTCTCACTAGAAAAGAACAGGCTTTTAAGAAATAGTAACAAAGCCTAACAAAATAAAATATAATAAGATAAAACAAAAAAAAACACATCACATTAAAGTTGGACAAGGCAAACCAACAGAAGAAGAACTATAAGAAAAGTCACAAGAATCAGAGAGCAACTTGTGCACACACACAGGAGTTCCATGAAAACACAAACCTGAAATAACAAACACACAAGAGGACCTGTGTGGACTCATGGCAGCCCTGTGCTTGTGCTTCAGTCTCTGTGAGTTCGTATGCGCTTTGCTAAGTTGATTTACGGGGACTTGTTCTCTTGGTGTCCGACATCCCCTCTTGCTCCCATGCTCCTTCTGCCCCTTCTTCCTCTGGGTTCCAGAGACAGGGTCTTTTTGTGTAGCCCTGTGGCTTTTTATGTAGACCAGGCTGGTCTCAAACTCCCAGAGATCTGGCCACCTCTGCCTCCTGTGTGTACCATTATACTCAGTGCCTATATCACTCAGCTTTTAAATGTTTAGTTATGAAATGCTTCAAATGTATAAAGAGGTATAGAAAAGACAGAACACCCAAAAAAGTAGTTCCGAGATTAAACAGGTGCTCACGTCATCCACATTCGCTTCAGAGATCTTAATTACATTTCTTTATTTGTCTGTCTGTATGTAGTAGTGGTGGAGCATGCGCACGTCGTAGCTGATTGTGGCAGTCACAGGACAACTTGTGGGAGTTGTTCTCGCCTTTTACCATGCACATCCTGGGAACGGAACTTAGATCGACAGGCCTAGTGGCAAGCCGCTTTACCAGCTGAGCAATCTTGCTAGCCCTAAAATTGTTTTAAAATAAATTAAAAATTACAAACAAAACTTTACTCCTATAAGAATTTGTAAAAATGCCATCACATTTAGATACATACACACCTCCTCAGAAATTTGCTCTTTTCAATCAACATTATTGAATTTTTTTTAACTGTTGAACTTACTACCTGACTCTTTTCTTTACCA